TCAATATCATTCTATTAGCTTCTACTACTGGTGAAAAAGAAGATCGTTGTATTGGTGTAGTAAGCTATGTAATAACCGACGACATTGGTTATTTGGGCATTATTCTCGATCGAAATACAACTCGAAAAAGATACGCTACAGAAGCCCTGTATACGTCGATCGTTTTTGCATTCAACAAATTAGGCATCAATAAAATCATAATATATACAGATAATAACAACGACGAAATGAGAGGATGGTGCGAAAAAACAGCTGGATTGAAGTTAATCGAAAAGAAAGAAGTGAAAATCAATGGATACTTCATTATGGAATGTAAATATGAATTTACTAATCGGGAATGGGAAAAAATCGTGAGAAAAAACTTGGAAAAGAAAATGGATAATATTTTGATCAACAATCAACTTCATTGAATAGTGTCGATTAATTGATGTTACCGATGACTTCAATTTGAAGTTTGCATCTTTGTCTCTCTTCATATAATACACTAAATTCATTGATTCACATTTAATAAGTAGTCATTATTGTCTTCGAAAGTGCTGGATAAATTTGTATAAGTGTTTTTCTAAGGCTGTAATTACTAAACAATCTATTAGAAACTAAAAATAAAACAAGTATAATGATTCACTTTTTATATAGTGCATGTGTAAGAAAAGTTCTTTTTTCTACTTTGTAATTAAAGTCTAAAATCGACCACCCATTAGAGATAAATTAATTTACCCTTTAGAATGTTGATCACATTAGCGTATGGGTGCGTTCGTGCACGAGTCTTCTTTTCATTCATACCGTAGCTGAATCAAACTGGATACAATAAATATGTGTACGATAAAAACTGAATCGTTTATAGCTATCTTCGACGATCGAAACACTCGTCGAAGATACTCTTTTCTATATAAACTTGTATTTTTTTTTCACACCAGCATATGAAATTTCACAATGGTCAAATATATCTATTTGATTTTTGATATTATTTTGTTTAAGAAAATAAATTTTCGATTGGCGCCATTGAAAAAAATAGAATAGAAATTTAACGAATGATAATTTTTAAAGTTTATTTCTGGTAAATGTCAAACGTAATCGATGCATACATCGAAGATCAAACTAATATAAATTATGATATTTCTCGTTCTGTTCAATTATGGTTATATTCTATTTCAAATATATTGTCAATTTCATGCTGTATTTTTGTTCTTTTTTATCTTTTATTTGATCGAACTCTTCGCACTGAACTTCACAATCACGTTATCATTGTTCTTCTTTTCCTATGTTTATGTTATGAATCGATTTGTATTCCATTTATTCTTTATAATTATCATTTTGATATATCTTGGCAAACAAAACCAATATTATATACATTTTGGTCATCTATTGATATTGTATTAAATCGAAGTCAATTGATAATTCTTGCTTGGGCTACTATTGAACGACATATATTTGTATTCCATGATTATTGGCTATCAACAAAAGAAAAACGTTTTTATATTCATTATCTTCCTATAATTCTATTGAATGTCTATTGTCTTGTTTGGTATGTTGTCATTATTTTATTTTCATCTTGTTTCAACATAAATAATCAATCCGATTCAAATTTTATTCCTTGTCTTTCTATGTTAACTCATCGAAGTATTAAATATTTTGATCTTATATGTCATCAAATCATTCCATCATTGATTATTATTATTCTTACTATAGTTCTTCTATTGCGTGTTCGATGGCAGAAAAACCATTTTAATCAATCAATTGATTGGAAAAAACAAAGAAGAATGATATTTCAAATATTATCCATTTCAATACTTTATTTTTTATTCTATGGTCCATGGATACTTGTAATGATCTGTGTTCAATTTAGTTCCCTCAAAAGTATTGCATTGAATATGATGACTTATGCATTTTTTTTGTCTGACTATTTTATATTTCTTTTACCATTTGTCTGTTATGCATCGTTACCTGAGATTCAACTCAAATTGAAGAAATTATTCTGTTATCTATTACAACAATTCCACTCTCGATATAATAGAAAACGATCAAATAAGTAGAAAAAATATTAATCATTGATAATTCTCTTGGTCTTTATTGAAAAATAAACTTCAAGCACTTATATTTCGAAGAATTTTTCATCAAAAAGAATTATGTAACAGTCAATTAAAATGATGACATTTTATTAATTTTTTTTATACGATTTTTTACACACTATATGAAAAACAAAAGAAATTGATGCTTTAATAATAATACTATTAAAGACTATAACACTTCTCGTTTAAAAATTGTACATCGAAACTTAACTTATTGTAATGTCATAATATAGATAAAGCATGAGCACATCTGATTATTTTATTGAGAATAGAGTGTGACTAACAATGATAACGAAAAAGAGTAAGGAAGATACAAGATGTCCCAAAAGTCATGACCACTTAAGAAATACAGATAACTCCGTTATTGATTAAGCTTTGAAACTAAGTTAACAGAATCGTTTTCACGGTTATTAAAGTTTTCGGAGAGCCACAAATGGTTTACCGAATAGACATGCATTGTTGATCCGATCGTTTTAAAGAAGGTGAAAAATATCATTAATAAGCAATAATCAAAGATCTGCAAGATCTAAAATACATAATAACGATCGCAATTCAAGTTCCTATATCTAATAGAAGAAAAAGATTTTGATTAAACTTAATCAGAAGTAGAGTTGTTCATATTTATTAAGTGATCATGGCTTTTGGCACCACCCTGTATTCAGTTTTTTTATCTCTTATATGTGTTCAAAATGTATTCTGTAAGTTTTTTGATGTTGTTGTAGAACTTTTTCGGAAAATATGTAGTTTGACTTTAAGTTTTGGGAAAGAAAGCAAGTAATTTCCTTAGGTTTCTATAACACCTCATGTAAACATAATACAATTGACAGATGTGCAAACAGATCACACTTCGTAGTAAATTATGACTAAGACAAGAATGTTGTCAACTCAGCATGAACTGATAGCACTTTCATTTTCGTACTAAGAGTAATTTTTTTTTGCTGCTCAATAGATTCTGAACTCGTCTTTCGTTCGCATTTGTGCTAGCATCGTGCAGTTAGTTGTATTGAGTTTCGTGCTAGAAATTAGAACATATGAAGACCTCATTGAAGATATGCATTCGCCTTATGAAGTATACATAGTTAGTTTTTATTTTTTCATTCTTGTTCTGTCAGCAAATCATTTTGTCAGCTCAAACTCATCAACTATTGCATCGTCTACATTTTGATGATAAGAGAAACGTAAATAAGTTCTATTCGCCCAAATTTGAGTATAACCAAACTGCTGATCATGATACAAACTCCATTTTGCTCCTGTATACGTATCGAAATCCAAATTGTGTCCGGCCATTCCAATTAATACATGTATAATTCCTTGGTCGACACATTTTTCTTGATACATTGGACATGATCGTTCGTAAGAATGTATATGTGCAAAAAGATTAATATCGACATGATACTTATAAAACATCGGTTCTAGAGATAGTTGTAACATGGCTTTTATTGGATCACCAACATCGCGTACTATTGATGAATACATTGGTCGATGTGATCCAACAATTAGCCATGGTGTACGGGAACGATTGACAGAATTAAGATCACGTTCAAGCCAAGCATGTTGTGATGATGAAGGAAGAAAATCATGTTCCGTGGAGTAATAAACAATATGAACAGGACCCACATCGAAACTATACCAGAAGAGACCATTGCCATTGGATGGTGATTGAAAACGACGTACCATTGGAACAGCACATTCACCACCAGAATCATAACCATAGTTGCCCCTAGATATAGACAAGAGAATCATTAACATGCATTAGATATTCTGATCAAGAGAAAAAAGTTTTATATGAACAATTGTTTACCATGATGGTCGAAATCCTCCAGGACCTGGTGCTCCGCTAGGATCCTTATCTCCTCCTGTGACATGATCGTATTCATGATTTCCGATTCCAACCATATACGGTACATGAGATGCAATTGCATCGATTTGAGTCATAAAAGCATCCCAAAGTGCACCAATACCTCGTGCATAACTAATATCACCAATATGTAAAACACATGTGATATTACTAGTCATTACTTGTGCTCGAACTCGATCCATGGTCGATTTGGCACCAGGTTGAACAGGTGCCACACCCATATCTCCATAAGCGATAAGTGACGCTGTTGCATTAGCATCATCGGCCGGACGATTGGTAAATGAGCGCACTGATGACCAACCATGTTGATCAGTTCCTACTCGATAGAAATATGTAGTTGATGAACGAATATTTTCAAGAATAATCGTATGCATATAGCCAGGATCAATAAATGTTTGTGGACCCGGAATATTTGCTTGACCTTCGCACATGTCCGATGCTTTATAAGTGATCGTCGTTCCTCGAACATGCCATTGAAGCAATGATGGATCTAAACCATATTGACATTCAGGTATGTACTCAGAAGAATTTGTTACAAATGAAACAAATATTTGATCGATTCTATCACCATAAGCCAAATGAATTTGTTCTGGTGCATTGTAATTGAACGGTTGAACAATCAAAGATTTTGCAACAAAGGAATAATTTCCTGAACAATTGTTCTCGCGTGAATAATATCGAAATTCGAGTGGACGACGCAAATTAATCATTTGCCATGACATACTTGTTTGATTTGTCTGAATGAATTCATAATCAAAGTAGCCGCATGCACCTAATCGAATCAAAATAAAATGTTCTATTTCGAATCAAGTTGTATGTTACCTGTAAGAAGTGGAATGTCGATAAAGTAAATGCCAATAAAATCATCATTACATGACGAAGATATAGAAGACCAAGTGACGACAATTTGTTGATTGCTAACATAAAATGTTGATGATACATTCAACTCTTTTGTATTCATTGGTGGTAATGATATTGAAGGAAATGAAATTCCCAATGATCGATTACAACCGTACGGACTAGGAACATTTTTGATTGAGTGATGTTTCCCAAATGGACCATTGACATTGAAATGATTATTGCATTGGGCAGCAGTAATAATAAGGAAAAAGAAAACAAACGTTATTTGATGCAACAACATGGCGTTACAAGCCCCGATAAAACTTCGGTGTGTATGCTCTCATCTGATATGATGATATGAAAAGTAAACTGATAACCTGGTGTTGTTGTATTTAAGCAGAATAGTATAAAATTCAGTGCGCAAGAATAAACCACGTGTTGAAAAGATATGATAAGCTAAAAAATCGGATGTGCATGTGGATAAACTACCATCCTTGCTAACAATGGTAAATCCTTTTAATGAAAAAAAATTGTTACAGTGTTCAATACTAACGGTTCGAGTATTGCTATTTGTAAATTTATTTAAAAATACCGGATATATGAGAGCGAAAATTTTAATCACAAAATTTTTTGCGATGAAATGTAGAGTTTCCGATGTATTATTTTTGCATGCCGATTGTGAAAATCATGATTATTTCCTGAAAAAACAATTGATTTTCGATAATTAAAATCTAGAAATACTAGCCGTTTTTTCGATGTTTTACATAGATATGTGACCCTGTTGTCAATAAAAATAATGAGTTTTTACGAATTCTTGATTACCATATTGACTTTCTCTCTGCAAAAATTCGAACTATAGTTATAGGAATCATGTTTTTCGATAGACTGTATGAAACTACACTGATGATAAAAGCTTTACTTTTCTAAAAATGAATCCATATGATATTATAGGTGAAAGTGATTGTTTAAGATAGTTTTATTTTTATTTTCTACAGAACCTTTAGTTGTACATGCAGTAAAGATTTGGTTATAGATGAGATATATGATAAAGAGATCAATATTTGTTTAAAGTGATTCTTTCTCAGAAATATTAATTTTTTGCTAATGCTCAATAATCTCATGTCCTTAGGAGACACTCACAACAAAAAAAAATAGTAAAATAAATTAGTGGGAAACGGAAGAGTGGACGATAAGCGTTAATACTGCAATGAATCAATCTCTAAGTTTTAGGAAAGCGTTGCCTGTAGTTGAATACTATTACATACAAATTCGAAGACAGTAATCTTGCAGCAAATTACACGATCTTTTGAGCGAAGAAAGATCATATACTTGACTTCAATTGCCAATAAAAATACCAAGAATTGCTCATATATTCGATGAATGGTAACGGAAAGCTGAATAGAACTTACGTCCATTACAGTAAATAAAGTGTATGAACCAGAGCTGCCACCTTTTCTGCTTTTAGCAGAAAATTTCTGCTTTTTAGAGTTTTTTCTGCTTTTTTCTGTCGTTTCTGCTTTTTGAAGATTTTTCTGCTTTTTTTAATATCGTGTTATTTATATTTTTAACCAAGATTTTTTTATCTAGAAGTTTTTTTTTCATAATTATAGAAAAATCCTTATCAATAGATACTGATAGTCTTGTTTTATTCTAATTCTTTTAATTTTACAAAAATGATCTGTATGTTTTACTGGCTACAAATAAATAGCAATGTATATTTTTGGTTTTTTAATCTTTTCTCAATTTATGTTTCTCTTTCTATTGTATTTTGTATTAGCCATCTATTCCATACAAACCAACATATACATTCTTTTGTATATTGGGTTGATAAACATAAATAATTAATATGATTAGTAATGATACAGGTATAGAGAAACGAGGTGAATATGATAATGACAGCAGGATTACTAAAGAAAATAGTATCAAAATACTAGTAGTTGCTGAACAAATGCTCATGTCTTCAGAAGTTGAACCAAAAAAAGGAAATCGAAACAAAGCGTGTTTCATAAAGAATGACTTAAAATCGTCGAATATCAAAGAGTTTTAAAAGAATATAAATAACACTCATCTCAGGCAACATGTATTGTTTGTAATCAACAATTTTCTGTACATTACTGAGAGAAAGCTGATAATGACAATCATGTAAACACTTAGAAACACAAAAAGCACATGAAGTCTTATGATTTTAGTCAACAGTTATTTGAAACTCCTCCTCATCACGTGCTGAAATGTATAAATATTTATTAGGTAATCAATATTCATTAAAGCTTCTCCTCAAAAAAGTCCATTTTCGTCAAAAATGTCAGAAAATAGGTAAATGCATGAAAAGATAGCCTGTAGTGTGGTTTTTCAAAAAAAGTATGGTTTTTAATTTAATACTTTCATTTTTGCTCGAAATTAATCATGATTTTAATCATCTTCTGCATAAAAAATAGAGTTTTTGGAAACAACAGAAGATCTTTTTCACTTTTTCTTAGTTCATCCTGTCTCAAACACACAGGCGAGAATTCTCCGTTCATGCTAACATAATACCTCTAACTTTTTTTTTATTGAAAGAGCATGTGAAAATGAAGTGCATCAAAGAGTCTTTTTTTTTTAGATAAGCTTTTTTATTATCATATAAGAACATATGTCTATTGAAAAATATCGATTTTTTGTGAGCTTTTTGAATCATTAACTTGTGATCCTCTTTTTCGCTTGAGACGTAAGCATTTATAAAAAGGACTCTTTGGTGTCCTGCATTTTGACATGCTCTTTTAAATAAAAAAAAATATGTTATACGCGCCTTGACAAAAATTTTGTTTACCAAGTACTGTATTTTTTGATCCTGGTTTAGTGAATATCTCAGTCAAACGTCATAGTATCGAACTGAAAAGTTTACGATAGCCTCTCCACTATGGTTCCAACATATTCTGAAAATTTCAGCTAATTTGTATATGCGGGACTATGATCGATTTTTGAGGAGAAGACGGTCTTAAACGCTATTAAATTAAAGGAAAAGTATACGTTCAAAATAAAATGTGTTCAATAAGCCTATTCATTTGTTACCTAATTATGTATCTTGATCTTGTACAATTCTATTTATTTGTTGATTAACTATTTTTCTTGATCCTGTACAACAAAGACGAAAACTTAATGTGAAAATTCTTAATTTGTGCACAGGAACAGAGCCTAAAAATAGCTTAAATTGCCAAACATACTTTCTGCTTTTTTTCTGCTTTCCGATGACAAAATTTCTGTCATTTTCTGCTTTTTATGAATTATTTTCTGCTTTTTGAACTTCAAAAGGTGGCAGCACTGGTATGAACATACTCAAAATACGTTTTATCCTATATCAATTATTTCATTTATTTGTTTCGTAATTTGTTTATATGTAGAAACAATACAAGTCTTTTGTAATGTGGAAAAAAACTGTCGAAACAAAAAAGCTGATTGCATTTAAACTACGTAGTCAAACTTTGTGTTAAACGAAAAATGATAGTTTTTTTTCACAGCTCAAATTCGCGCAATGCATCTAAAATATAAAACAATTTACTTTCTTAGTTTACCTCTATTTAAAAAAAAGTATATATAACAGCCAAAAATTTTGTTTGTCTTTTTTTTTCGTTTAAACTTTTGTATGTTTTGTTAAATAAAACATAATAAGCATGACTCATGAAGAGAACAATTCGAGATTATCAATAAACAATGAAAATGAATTGATAACGGAAGTAAAAGATTCAACAATGACAACAGCAATCGAACCTATTAATATTCGACCTGTTCATAGTATGACATGTTATATCTGTTTGGAAAATATTATAACAATGAACAAACAATTTGGGATACAAAATAATTGTGATCATATATTTTGTTTTGATTGTTTATCAACTTGGCGTCGTACGGTTAGTGTTTTTCATGATTAAATTATTCAATATTCCGAACATCTTAGAAATATACTTTTTTCGTTGTTTTCAGAGTGCTATGATTGATAAAGATACAAGTAGACGATGTCCTTTGTGTCGTACGCGATCAACTTTTATAGCTCGAAGTTGGCGTTGTTTTACTAATCGTGATGATAAACAATCTTTAATTGATACACATAAATTAAGTTTAAAAGCGATTCCCTGTCGAACTTTATTAAGATACGGTTTTTGTCGATTTGGTCACCGATGTTACTACAATCATCATATTCCATTAACATCATCAACATCTCAAAGATGGTCTTCATCACCAATTGATATGCCAATTTCATTCAATGACCATCAACAAAATTCATCAATCATCGTTCAATCGAATACAATACAATCGATGAATGAAAATAATAATGATGAACAACAGGAACCACCCAGAAGGTTTACTTACAATTTACATCGATATAGACCGTACTAGGCTGCAAATAATTTATAAAATTTTTTTAAATACTAACTCTATGCTGTTTCATCGACATAATTTTATATATTTGATCACTTTTTGAACATCTGATATGACAACATTTAATCCTATTGTTTTTTGTCATCGTTCCATCTTCATACAGTCATGCTTCTTTGTTTCTGGTTCTCTTAAATTATAACTCAATGAATTTTATTTTTTTGATTATCTTATTTTGTTCTATAGTCACTAAATTAAACTAAAACTGTTTATCATCATTATATTAAAAAATCAAATTACACTACTTTATATTTCTCAACTTATTGATATCTGAAGTTTTTTATTATTAGTATTCTATCAATCGAATCGAGCAAACTCTTTATATATCGATCGTATAAAAATAAATATTTAAATGATGAAGAGACTAAAATCTTGCCTATACCAAAGTAGAAATGCAGATTAATTATGTTTACACACGTTCGGCAAGAGTGACAATGATTTCAGTTATATATATTCTCTAAACTTTATTCTCAAAAAGAAACTTTTACTAATTCGACACTTCTGATATTGCTTTATAGTGATCTCGCAAGTCTCATGCAGTAGTCAACCTATTCATTCGTGATTATTTTCAGTGAATCAACACTTTTGTCATTATAATAATTCAAATAGGTACAAAAAATTTCGGCCACATCAAGGGCCAAAGTGTGAAATTCCCTGTAACAATTTTCATAGTTGATATGCATGCTCTGCAATTTTATCCTTTGTGTTATTAGATACATCTTTAATACATAGCTTCTTTTCTCCTAATGATGATATATATGATAGTACTCCCAAGAAACGGTAACTATCATTTTATGCTTCGTTACATCTGTTCAACTACTATATTAGTCTGCTATACACGTTTATTTAATCATCCAGTGAACTTCCAAATATACCATCCACTCTCAACAAAAGTTGCTATGTACTGCTAATTTTTGCGTAAATTTAGAATTCAACTAGTTCATAATTTTCTATCTTGATTTAAGAACTACTATGATTAATACACATTTTCTCATTGCTAGGAAACCCACTCATCCATCTTCTTCCGATTACTAAGAAATGGTGCTAAATCACCATTAGCCTTTCTTCCTCCTACCTCCGACTTTCTAGGACTTAGGGAGTAGGAAGCTGCAAAAATCTTATTTTAAGCTTACTCTTACATTCTCTTCGAAAATATGAGTGAATTCCATGAAAGTGATAGAAAGAGAAAAATCATTTTAATAGATTCTTTTAAGATGTCAGTGTAATGTATTACTTTAGAATAGAATTCATGAAATCAAAATATATAAAAATTCATTTTCATAGAAGATTTTGTTGTCACATATAATAGTCTTCATGGTGTTATCGTCACACAAAGTCAACAAACTAACATTTTCTAGATAATAGAATACGATTTTCAGTATAGAAGCACTCATTGTATACCGATTCGCTTGAGTTCCAATGGAATGAATGTAGAGTATCACCATAGTATAAAATTATTGAATTCTCTAGAAAAAATATTTTCTATAGCATCAATACTTCAGGATTTCATGAATTATTTAAAATAAAGTTTTCGAATGGCTAAGAAAAATTTTCTGGTGCAATCTCTACGAGATTAGAATATGAAAAACGATGAAATCATTTTAAGTTAGAATAAAATGCCTGCATCATCAAATAATGACACGAGATGGGCAAATGTGAAATGTGAAGTGTGCATATTTGTATTTTCTGGTATCTAGCCAAAATTCTTCAGTTTTATACAGGTTTATCAAGGCATGTTTCCGTAGTGTGTTTGAAAATCAGCTTCGAGAAAAACAATAATTTGAATTTTGAGTCAGAAGCTAGCTTTGACAGCCTGTTTCAAATAAGGAATAGTCTTGCGACATGAAAAAAATGAAAATGTTTGTATTTCATCTTCTTCGATGAGTACTTCTTTAGTATACTTTGATGATAGAAGAAAACAGGAAAGAAAAAGCATTAGTTAAATGAGGCTACCAGCAAAACGAACAGAACAAAAAAAAAAAAAGAAAAGAGAACAAAAGAATGATATGGTTGTAATAATCGGTTAAAGAAATCCAACTCATTAAGGAATGGGTAAAAAGAAGGCTAGTATCCCCATCCGCACATCATTATTTTCATAAAAAACGTATCTCATAACATTGAATTCAATATTGCCGAAGTTACTGTGAATTTTCTATTTATTACCAGCATTATTTTCAGCTTTTTTTTCATATGTAGCACAAAACTGTGCTATAAAAGATCCCGAATGAAACATGCTACAAATTAACTTCAAGTATTTTTCATAAGAATAAATATTGCTAATGAAACATTTTTAGTGCGGATAAATTTATACATCTGAACATGTGTAGTCAAGATCGCGGTGTCATCACAGAGGCTCAAATAACGAGATGAGTGGAGACGTCGTTGCATCGAGTTACTTATTCCTTACCTTGTCATTCAAGTCTCTGCAGTTGCGTCGCGAGTTGTGGTAAACAATTCCTTTTTCAAAAAGGGAATGTGTGTCTGTCAATAGAATTTTAACACTCACATCCATATTGTTTTAGGCAGCATGAGACACCATTTCAGATGGTCGAAACGATCCGCTTGAGTAAGTAAAAAAGAAAATTTCGATGAGAAATAGAAAAGTGAGGTATATTATCAGAGTGTGACATTAGTTTATTATTCTTTTGGTTGATTACAAAAGTTTTAGATTCTGTTTCACAAAAAAATTGTCGATAGATTACTATTTCGCATGAGAATGAAAACATATGGTGTTTTCTTCATTGTTTCAAGACATATCTGCGTGTCCTTATTTATCTTGTACAAATGTCACATATATTCAATAGGGGTTTCCATAGGTAGAAAAAAATTATGTTTTTAATTTACTGTGCATGAGATCACGCTCGTTTAAGCAAACATGGTATAAAGTCAATGTAAGAGCAGAAAGTAGAAATCCAAGAATAGAAGTTCTATGCTTTTATTTTTACTAACAATTATCTTTTGACATTAAATGTCTACTAAAAGTCACGAAGGCTTCAGAATATACTCAATAGCTTTTAAACAAAATAAACAAAGAGAAAAAGACAGCATCTCCAACAAATTTTGTATATGAGCCGAGCATAGTATATTATTTAAGTCACACATAGGTACATTAGAACAAAAACAATACGATAAAAAAACCAAACCAAAAAAATAAATAAAACAATATCAATACCACTGAAATAAATACTTTTAGAATTTCACTATATTCTACTAAATTTTGTGATATATTATTATACAGCCTAATACTTTTGTGAAATTTATGAAAAAAAAACACAATTATATCAGTGTGTAAATTATTACTATTCTTGAAATAAAACAATAATGTAATCATTAGAAGCGTTGGGTCGATGCGTCCATACTTCAAAAAACAAGGAGATTTCACCGAAATTGGTTAAGATTTATGAAGTTCTTCTGGAGAAATCTACTCACATGCCTTCATCTGGATGTACAAAATTTATATAGTATATTAAAAAATGGATAAGAATATGATTTAACAGAGAGTTTTTTTATGAGATCGAATACTGATTTATTTTAAATCGTATTTTTTTAGTTTACAACATCAAGTTTTTAATCATTATATCAATTCATCGCAAATTTTTCGTCCTCTATAGTTCAATTGATAGTTTGTAGTAATTCAAGTACGGTGAAAAGTAAGTGTATGATTTGTTGAGTCATTGTATCTTTTCATGTCTAATATTTTTTTGAATTTTCGACGAAAACCAACATTTGAAATGATTGACACATAGAAACTCGTCGCGAAAAAAAGATATGAAAATAAATGAATTAATTCAGTAAATACTTTTTCCCAAGCCAATTGTAATGGTGTTTTGTACCATTCTTGTGTTATATTTACATAAATTAACTGCGCAGCGTATGGAACATATGTTATAATGGTGATAAGTGATTCTAATGTTAACATTATTGTTAATTGTGAATCCATTTGATTGATTATTGAATTGTTTCGAATGATGATTGAAGACACATTATTAGTGGGTTGAATTCTTCGTTGAGCAACTCCTCGAACATTTTTCATTAAAAAATAAGCCAGGATAGACATAGCAATTACTGGACAAAATGAAGAAAAAATAACTTGAAAGTAAGTATCATAGACAGCATAGAAACCTTTTAAAGGACTACAAATACCATTGTTTATGCTATATAACACAATTCGATGACTAAGAAGAAGAAACCAAAAGACTGGAATTACGATAACCATTCTATATGCTAGTGAAACACGATTACTCCATTGTCGACATCCTTAAACAAAAATAAATATATTTAAAACCGTCTAGAAGAAATCTTTGGAAATAAAACACAAATAAAAATTTTCGGCTATTTTTTTTTAATTTGTACTTACTATTTGAACGTTGTGTTGACAAAACTCGGTCAAGTATTGCAAATGCAAATAAGCTATAAGAGACTACATTACCCCATATTGTACTGAATTGTCGAAGTTTACAGATAATAATGAAACGATTCATAATTGGAAATTGAAAGCCATTTTGAATTATTCGCGTAAGTAGTACAAAATTGAAATAATGTAAATTAGCCACTGCAGCCGCAAATAAATAAATTGAATAAGCTCGTTTACGAAATGATTGAGAACAAAACACTATCATATTACCAATACAACCAAGATTACCTGCTATCCAAAGAAATGAACCAAACCAAATATTGAGTTGATATGATGTGGTTGAAAGAGTATTGTCAATGCTACTTGTAGCATTCATCTTTAGTCTATCCATACGAAACAATTCGTTTCAACTTTTTGAGTCGCTATAAAGTTCTTTGAAAAGAATCACTTACTGAATGTAAGAATATTTTATCTACTCTTGTATAATTGCAATAAAGTTCGTGACAAATTTTCATACATAATTAATGATGATTTTTATGAAATGATATTTTTTCAAAGGATTCTTTATGAATAGATTGTATTATTAACAAATGACATAATTCTGTGTTAAACGACTTTGTCCTATAGATAGATGACAAACAGTAAATGCAATGGTGTAGATTATCGCTTTATTTTCTTCTCTATGTCATTTTGCTTGGATCAGAAAAAAATATTTGACTTTTCTTATGATGTAACTCTGATGAATAGGAAG